GGATTATAATAATAAAAAATTGTAAATAAAATAAACATTTGGCAATCCAGTCAGCAAAAACCTAGAGTTAACCTGTTAACAATGTTAATTGCTCTTTTTTTCCGAGTTCAATGGCTTATTTGGGGGTTATTTGAGTTCGATGGCTTAATTGCTTTTTCCCAAATAGTTCAGTGGCTTATTTGTACTTTATCCCTTAATATAAAAGAATGTTATATGTGTATGTGTGTGTATTAAATATTTAAAAAAAAAAAACTATTAAAAACGTGATTGTGTTGAAAAAAAAAAAAAAAAAAAAAAAAAAAAACAAACTGTGAAAATGTATTAATGCCAAGATTCAAACCCATAACCTTCATTATAACCACATATATGCTTTGCCAACTAATCTAACTCACTTCTTATTAATATTTATCTGTTTTTTATATTAATACTAAAACTTATACTATATATACATCTATACATACAAAGCTTATATATGGGATGAGAGTGGGGTGAGGGGGGTAGCCGCCACCCCCTTGCTCCGTCCTTGAGTAAATGTAATATTTCACCAATCTCATTATATGTGTCTAATTCAGTTACTAAGATTTGACTGGAGTTATTTTTAATTCAATATGTCATAATGTTAAATTTAGTATTAATATATCAAATTTATATACTTAGAATCTACACTGAACATATTATTAAACACACCAAAAAAAAAATCAAATTTTGAAATACTTAAAAAAATTAAATAAAATAATCAAATAATAAGTAGTTGGTTTAACTAATGAATAGTAAGTATAACATGTAAAATGGAACAAAATGAGCATTAATTATGCAATCTTATAGTCATATGTGACTTGCTTCGATAATAGCGTGAGAAAATCGTAGTCATGTATTCGATAGTATATCTACATATAGTAACTTGTTTAGAAATCAACAAATAAGATTTACTAAAATGTCATTTATCGTAAATTTTCCTCAGACTAATCCATTAAATTGAATTTAAATAGAATAAAACTCATCATATATACTCTTAAGGAGAAAATTTACAATGTTTAACCAGTCAACACCAAGCTAGTTGTCATCAACAAGTTCACTTGGTGTTGGTTTATGAGGTTAGGTTCAATGTAGGCAAATATATAGTTATGAATGAGATAGTACTTTAATTACTTACAGCTTGTTATTTCAATAATGTTGAGGCTATCGTTTCCTATTTGATTAAAAAAAAAATCTTGATTTAAATATTAAAAATTACCACATAAAATGTCATGTTATTCATTCTACCTGCTTAACTTAAAAGTACTTTGTTTTTTTTTTTTTAAGTAACTTGTTTCTTCTTTTTGAACAGAGGAAAGGGGTACACTCAAGTTTACAAGCTAACCGCGTCTAATTGGCGCAGTAAAGGTATGCCAAATTTATCATCATCTAAGATTTGAAGGAGCTCGTTAGGTGGCCGAATTATTAGTGTTAAGCCTCCATGTCGTGCACACATCTTAGCAAGCTGATCTGCGGCTTGGTTGATATCTCTGGGAACGAGTGAAAGGTGCCAGGTCTCGATGTTCATAAGCTCACGTCTGCAAGCGTCTAAAATGTTGCCAGGGATGCTTTCCCGTCTTATGTCTTGGGTTAATGCATTTGCAATTACTTTGGAATCGTATTCCAAGCAGATGTTGTTCCTCCTCAATGATTTAGCAACTTGGATTCCTTTTAGAAGCGCTCAGGCTTCCGCCATTTCCTCTGAGCAAGAACCTACAACATAAGAGAAGCCTTTGAGCCAATCACCGTGTTCGTTGTGAATGACTCCGCCACAACTTGCTTTTCTAAAGATAGGATCATAACTGCCATCAACATTGACTTTTATCCAGTCAGTTGGAGGTTTGATCCACCGGATGAGGTTCCAGTTTGTAGTCTTTGATGACTTATTGACCGCATGAAACACGGTTTGTTCCGAACGAGCATTATGATCTGCTTATCTCTGAGAGTGTATGTAAAAGTGTTGTATTCAATAATGATGTCTGAGAGTATAGAGAGCGAATATATATATATATATATATATATATATATATATATATATATATATATATATATACACTATATAGAATCTTATTATAACACAAATAATATAGTCATAGTCTAATATGAATAATATAGTCCTAGTCTAATATGAGTAATATAGTCCTAATACTCCCCCTCAAGCACAAGGTTGGCTAGTCAAAACATTGAGCTTTTCACGGAGAGAATTAAAACGAAGAGACGAAAGAGACTTTGTGAAGATATCTGCCAGTTGATCCTTGGTTGAAATAAAGTGCACCTCTAAGTCCTTTTTGGCTACTTTATCGCGAACAAAATGATAGTCAATCTCAACGTGCTTCGTGCGGGCATGAAACACTGGATTGGCACACAAGTAAGTAGCTCCCAAATTATCACACTATAGTCGAGGAGGAGACGCAGGAGGGATGCTGATTTCGTGTAACAGGGAAACAAGCCATGTAACCTCTGCAGATACATCAGCTAGTCCCTCACTCCCTTGTATTCTGCTTCAGTTGAAGAACGTGCGACAGTCTGTTGCTTCCGACAAGCCCAAGATATAAGATTACTGCCCAAGAACACAGCAAGGCCACTATTAGACTTGCGATCATTCGGATCACCAGCCCAATCTGAGTCAGAATAGGCGTGAATATTCATAGATGTAGACCGAGAAATACGCAACCAAGATTTAGGGTGCCCTTGACATACCGCGAGACTTTTTTTAGAGAGGCCCAGTCCGTAATAGTGGGAGCATGCATATGTTGACACAAGAGATTAACGGCATAAGATAAATCAGGACGAGTTACCGTAAGATACTGGAGAGCACCAGCAAGGCTCCTGTATTGCATAGGATTGGCATAGGAAACAACAACTTTGTCAGTGATTTTTGCAGAAGAGACAGACGTGACTACTGGCTTGCAATACACCATGCCAACAATTTGAGAATATCCTTCATGTACCGTTGTTGTGATAAAAGCATACCGCCAGATAACGTGACAGTTTCAATTCCCAAAAAGAAAGAAGGCACACCCATATCACGAACCTTAAACTCAAGTGCTAATTTATTAATAAGAGCAGTAACACGATCTGAGTCAGAACCCATAATCAAAATGTCATCAACATACACCAAGAAATAAAGACGAATATTATCACGAGAATAGATAAAAAGAGACACATCCGTCTTTGAAGGCGAGAAGCCCACAGAGACAAGAAAATCATGCAACCTTGTGAACCATGCATGCGGAGCCTGTTTGAGCCCATATAGAGATTTTTTAAGTAAACACACATGATCAATTAATGACTATCCTCATAACCAGGTGGCTGTCGCATGTAAACAGTCTCAGCTAGCTCGCCATTTAAAAAAGTGTTGTGAATATCTAACTGGCGAATAGTCCACCCACGAGATACGACTAAAGATAAGAGAAGGCGTATCGTAGTGAGCCTAACCACAGGACTAAAAGTCTCAAAAAAGTCCTCACCAACAACCTGATTAAAACTCTTGGCCACCAACCTTGCTTTATGACGTTCTATTGAACCATTGGCCTTCCGTTTGGTTCTGAAAACCCACTTGCAACCAACAACATTCATACATGGTTGAAACGGAATAAGACACCACGTATGATTATGGACCAAGGCATTGAACTCTACAGGAGGTTAGTTTAATGGAAACAAAGTGATGAGCCGATGAGAGGCTATTCCCGGTGGGCATAGGGGAAGTCTCGGTAACGGTTCGTTCAGAAGATCGAACAGAGCCTTCATCAGGGAGACCGAGACCTTCCATGAGAGAAAACCTAGAAGCTGATACCAGATGAGAGTGTATGTAAAAGTGTTGTATTCAATAATGATGTCTGAGAGTATAGAGAGCGAATATATAGATACTATATAGAATCATAGTCTAACAAGAATAGTATAGTCCTAGTCTAATATGAATAATATAGTCATAGTATAATATGAATAATATAGTCCTAATAATCTCGGCTAGATGGTGATGAATCAGAAAACACTTTTGGCCGACTCCAATACGATTGTGTCTAAATATTCTCTCGTTTCGCCATTTTTAGAGCCACCAAAGGGTGGTGGCAAATAAGACGCTATTGGATTGTTGCCGTTTTCCTGAGAAACCTCTAATACCTGAGTCGAGCTAGTCTGTAAAAAAGTAACTTGTTAAAAATATTATCTGCATACATTTATAAAATTAAATGATTTAGTTGCATAATTTTTTTATTCAATAGTCTAATTTACACAAACACTTAATTCGATGATTTATTTGATGTTAAAAAAAAGAAGGAATAAGGGTCAAATAGGCCATCGAACTGCACACAATAATGCAATTAAGCCACTGAACTTAAAAAAACTATAATTAAATCCCTGAACCAATCAATTTTATGCAATTAGTCTTATTTGTAGGTTTTCCAAGTTGTTAGCAGGTCACCCATTTTCAAAATATTTTTTTTAAAAAAATTATTATTTAAAATTAAAAAAAAAAAACAGATCGCCTTTGCCGGAGACGAAGAAACCAGCCATGGAGACGAAGATAACTTCATCGTCTCTGGCCGGAGACGAAGCGACTCTTCGTCTCCTGCCATGGAGACGAAGAAGTTATCTCCATCTCCATGGCCGGAGACGAAGAGGGTTTCTTCGTCTCCACACTAGTGGAGACGATATCTTTTTTTTTTTTTTTTTTTTAAATTTTAAATAATAATAATTTTTAAAAATATTTTAAATTAGAGGTGACCTGCTAATTACTTGAAAAATCTATAAATTGGACTAATTAAATATAATTGGTTAGTTCAGGAACTTGATTGTAGTTTTTTTAAGTTCGGTGGTTTAATTGCATTATTGAATGCAGTCCGATCTATTTGACTCTTATTTCCAAAAAAAAAAAAAAAAAACTCAAAAGTGCACCTTACACGTCACCGACCAGGAAGTAGGCCCGCAACAAATCAGCAACGGGTTCATACTTCATATCAGTGATCCATCCGTACATATATATAAATCCTCTTCCCTTAATAGAAGCTGGAGATATTTTCTTCTCTATCATCCACTTGCTCCCCCGCTAGTTTCATCGCAATCTTCGTTGCTCATCTTCCTCAAGGTACGAGAATGCTTTATGAGAACTAGATTCTCAAACGCCATTGATTCATGTTCTCTGTGTATATGCGCATTTGTGTATTCGTTTGCTAATATCTTCAAGTTTCCTGCTTCCGAATCGCCTGAAGTGTATGGATAGCTGATATATATACATGATACATCTTTGATCTTTGGATCCATATTTAATAAAGTTTGAATAAGTAAGACTTTGTATAGTTTGAATTAAGATTTCAGCTTTCCAAAGCTAACTTCTTGAATGAGAATAATATTGGAAGATTTGAGGATAATGACTAGATTGTCGATTTAGGAAGTGGGAAAACGTGTAGGATTTTGGGCATATATTTCGAACAGATTTAGCAGAATATATATTTTTTGTAATTTTGGGTAGAAATTTGTAATCAATTAGCATATGAAAACTTAAGCTTAAGCATGCTTGATGTTTAGAACTTAGAAGATATGCTCATATGCTCAATGTTAGAGATATCTTTGCAACCAATGGGTTTTTGTTTCATTGAAAGCAGAGGATTTTGATTTTCAATCACGTCAAATAGATCTCCCTGCCAGCTTACTGCATGGTTTACTAGACGGGAAAAACATGAGAAGGAGATGTAAAATATTTCTTTGATTTCAAAAAAATTCGTTTAGTTCGTATTCCAACCAATCCTACCATGAGGTTTGCTGTAGTATGAATGTTTCATATGTGAATGTGGAACAAATTCACAGTTGGAGTGCTCGGTTGGACACTCCAAGTTTCCAACCAATCAAATAAGGCTCTACTGGACTGCAATAGACCAGTGATTGCGGGCTATTCCTGACTGTTTTTGGCTTTGATCAGGGCTTGGGTCCCTTGCAATAGATGCAGGTCTATGAATTAGCTTTCAAATATGACTTGATGATACCCATTTGGATTTGTGGACTCCAAGTTAGGCCCAAAACACTGAGAAATGGTCATGCAGCCAAATGCCCAAATCTGCTGAATTCTGGCTGCAAGTGTAGTGGCAGATGGAGTTTCTGTTGAACCACTCCAGTCGAGATTTGTCCAGTAACGTATAAAATCACAGCTACTTCTCATTGATCCCCTTTTCTCACAAGATTTTCTCAATGTATGGGTAATGTTCTTGCAAAATCAACCTACATAAGGGAAGCTCAAACTTACAAAATAGCCAATGACCGTGTGGTTAAGTGGCACAAGCCCCCACCCCCCCAAAAAAAAACCAAAAAATGGGGTAGAAAGTGTGTAGGATTAGGACATATCAAAGGAGAAGTTAAGTACATTGCAGGTTATTATTGTTTCTTATTTCTTATATTTGCCCCCCCACCCCCCCAGCGAACATCTTTGGTATTATAATTTGGAATTTAGAAATAGTTTGGCTTCTTTTTTATATCTGACTTGCTCCAAGTTTCACTGTAGTCTTCCTTGTAGAGTTGTAGGCTTGTAGCTATCTCTGTGAAAGGATAATGTTCCACTTGGGAAGATATTACAAAATTTTATTACTTCAAAATCTTGATACTAATAGCTTGATGTCAAACCTATTAAATCAGTGCATGAATAACTTGACACTAATTAATGATTTCTTATTGCGAGACTTAATGAAGCTATATCTCTGGTTTGACGTGATATGTAGAAAACCAGTGGCCAAGGAAAGTCGATGAGGTTATTTAGATCACGGAGGATTCTGCGTTACCTCAACCTAGAATGCATCATGGTTTAAATCCACGATTTAACACTTTGAGAAATCACTATTCACAAGGGCTAGAACTTAGTAAGGCATTTGAGGGTCTTCAGTTTCTTTAGTTAAGCTAGACTTAATCAAAGCTATTATCTTGCAAGATCTACTAGCTACTACATATAACACTATAACATGTTATCTTTTGGTTGGTTTGGACCTTTCTTTTTATTCTATTTTATTATTTCTCAATTCACTTTGCAGTTTGCAAAAGATGATATTATTGTGGTTATGCATTTTAGTTGCAAATACCCTTCTAGACTGCAATTCACCGTTCCTTAGTTTAGCTATCTGGAAACATTATTTATTTATTTAATTTTTAAACAACTCAGTCTAGCTATATGGATCTTTCTGATAATACACAGCTCTATATATGCTTTTATGATATTACCAGCCATTTGAATCTAGAAATTATCCTATTGTGCAGGATTGGGAAGATGGATTTAATGATACAACAACCTTGCAAGAAAATATATGCTGAGCATGAAAACCTTTGGTAAGAAGTTTGGTGCAGTAGTCTCTGTATAATTGTTACATGAATCAAACTAGCAGAAATGTCAGGATCACTACACACAACTTAGCATGCATCGTCTGTTAAGACCGATGCCTGCATATCACCATATTTTTATTTATATCTGGGTTTGCATAACTTTCCATGTACAATCATCTGCTGTCGATCAATTTACAATAACCTTAAAGCTGTTTCATATATTGGCACAGTCCAATCTGCTACAGCCAGACTTGATTAACTTTAGTCTTCCATCTTAGAGATAACCAGAATTCGTAGAAGTGTCTTTTAGCTGCGGGTTTTGTTGGTGTAGAGCAGACCTTTGCCAAAGTGCTGTCTAGTGCAGCTGTAGCCTGTTAGAATGTCACATTCACTTACGCGATTATTAAATTTTCTTTGGGGTTGGGTTCTGAAGCTTGAAATATAATGAGTCTTTAGTGCGAGAGAATTACCCGAGCTTCATCACACTTATTGGTGTTTCATTCTTCTGTATTTGTGGCTGGCTTAGCTGAAGATTTATTGGTGGTTGTAGGTCATATCTGGGGCTGACTACATTTGTAGTTTGAGAACTTCCATCGGGTTCATTTATTCTCCCAGGTCCATAAATCTGGAATGATCTACCCTTTAGATTTCGCCATTGGGCATAAGTTAAAATGATAGAGGCAGAGTTCTTGAAGAAAAATTTGTCCATAAATTACCTTTTTCTGCATTTCTATATTCTCTTGACGAATGAGATTTACCTTCTTATACAGTTCCTTATTTTCTTGACAAATGAGATTTCCCTGCATAGATGTAAGTAAAGGCATCTCTTTAGCATAGCTTAAGTGCAGCACCAAAAGTGAAATTCCAGTATTTATCATACAAGACCTTTCGGTTTAGTTCTTCAATCTCATCAGATAAAACTTTCTCCTGCAGGACAGCCATTCATTCGTAATCATTCTTAAATTGGTTACCTTTTGGTGACTGTAAATCATGAATGTTATCATCAAGCCTCAGTGTTTTACCTTTTTCTTTCGGATACCTTTCAGACTTGTCTCAAGTTGATTCTCCAGATTCGTGAGATCTTTGACATTCAGTCCAGAAAGTTCTTCCCCTAAAAGCTGCCTACACTCGCAAGAAACATAAATATATGTATGCCATTTTCTTTTGCTTGTTAGCTACCAAAATATCTTGATCTATTTAGTAGAAACTATAATAACTTTCTATTCCTTTACCAAAATCGCATTCCTTTTGAGGTTCTTTGCATCAAGGCAACATGTTCTTGCTTATTTTAGAATATCTTGTGTACTTGTTCAGATTCCAGACCATTTTTTTCCCGTCATGTATTCCATAAATTCTTCCTTAAATCTGAACTGTTACTATAAGCTTAGTTATGTCATATATGAACAGATGAGTACGAAGGTTCAGGAAACCAACATAGGGTTCATATGAATTTTCATCTATGGCACTGTACTGAAAAAGCAGATTATACATTCTTGAAGATGAGAGAGGAAGAAAGCTAAAGAAACCAACATAGGGATTTCATAGTTGCTTAAACTGCAATTCTTTATCAAGCCAAAAAGTAAGTGCATTTACTGATTTATCATTTACTTTATGATCACAATCCTTTAAATTCTATTATTATTTTTAAAAAAATGATGCATAAAACCTTTCTCCAACAATATAATGAATAATAACACTCGTTTTTCACTAAATAACCTTTTAGTATATGAGACTGATGAACTTACCTGTGGGTTTCTTGCAAGTAGTGCAGTTGTTGCCTCAGTGTAGCTGCTTCTCTTTGCCAAAACTATCAATCAAAACATTAAATTGCTTATACTTACCCAGTCAACAAGTAAATGATAGATTAGCATGCATAAATAAGCTAATTAAAGCTTTCTTCAAAGGAATAATGAAAAATTCTTAAACCTAGACTCTTAGCCTTAGTAAAATAGTTAAGCCGTTAACAATTCCAGTTGTACTATTTAAGGGCATTATGCCTTATTTATGCCTGATTGCAAGTAACAATCAAATCCAGAAGTTATGAAGCAACATGTTTTGAAAATGTGAAATTACTTGCATGGAAGATTTTCAATCTTCATATATGGAGTTATGTGAACTGACCCAAGTTACTTCTGATATCTATGTCTAACAGGAGATCTTGGGTTGCACAAGTTAGATGAAGGATCGGGAAACAGCTTGACAAATAGGATGAAGATTTGAATGCAATGTCTCCTGGCTTAGCCAGTTGAACCTGCAGAATGCAGTCAAGACCTATTGCATGAGAAACAGCATCTTGTCAATAGGAAATTGGTTCATAACCAAAACCATTACTTGATAAGAGCTAACATGATAACATTGGGACCTATTCATGTTTGCACCTTGCCACTGCTTGAAGTTGGATTGGAGCATCGAAAGAAAGAATCACGATGAATGCATTGAGGAATCTTATTGCCAAGCATCTAGTGACTAAAAGGTTACAATTCTCTAGCCCCATTCCACTTTCAGCTTGGGATTGAGATCAACGTTACTTGGGGATGCTGTGGTGGACTAAGGGAGCCTTGAGTTCGGGTTTGATAGTTCCTTGAGATTAGTGTCAAAGTCCGTTCGAGAAGAAAGCAGTAGCCTAACTGAGCATCTAACAAGGTATGCTTCTATGTTACTTGAGCCCTTTTAAACCCAAATTCAATGGCTGCCTTGTCTGGATGGGTGGAAAATGGGAGGAAGGAAAATGAGTGGAATGTTACTAGTTTTTCTTGTTTGGATGAGAAAGAAGAGGAAGGGAACGAAAATGAGGAGCAAATGGGGGAGAAATAATCCTCTATCTTATCATTTGTTTTTCCTTACCAAATTGGTAAGAAAAAGTTGTCTCTCCCTTTCTCAATCCATATTGTACATTGAACCTAGCTCCTCTCCTCTCAATATATTCACCACCTCCGTTTCCCATTCCTATATCACCCTTTCATCTCATCCAAATACAAAATTTTCTTCTTCGTTTTTATTTCTCTTCAGCCCTATCTTCTCATCCAAATACAAAACTTCTCCATTTTCCCCCTTTATCTTTCTTTCCTCTCATTTGCCACCCATCCAAATGCAAAATGAATGCGGAGACTCGTTCCCTAGAGGCAGTTGAAATTAATTGATCATTTGGTTATTTCTAGGACCTCCCGAGACCCGATAGCCATTTTGGTCGAATTGTTTTGTCCACTTTGCCTTCATTTCCTTCATTACTATACTCTGCAAGGTTCAACCATGTCTGCAGGAGAAACGAACTATCATTTAATAGAATTCTGTTGAACATGCTCCCTAGATGCAGTTGAAATTAATTGATCATTTGGTTATTTCTAGGACCTCCCGAGTCCCAATAGCCATTTTGGTCGAATTGTTTTGTCCACTTTGCCTTCATTTCCTTCATTACTATACTCTGCAAGGTTCAACCATGTCTGCAGGAGAAACGAAGTAACGAACTATCATTTAATAGAATTCTGTTGAACATGCTCCCTAGATGCAGTTGAAATTAATTGATCATTTGGTTATTTCTAGGACCTCCCGAGTCCCGATATCCATTTTGGTCGAATTGTTTTGACCACTTTGCCTTCATTTCCTTCATCACTATACTCTGCAAGTTCAACCATGTCTGCAGGAGAAACGAACTATCATTTAATGGAGTTCTGTTGAACGTATCTTTGCAGACTTTTGATCTTCCACTAGGAGCAAGTTGTTGGCACCTCATCTCATTCCTCTGCAAATGCAAATAAGAGAGGACATTAGCCGATACTTTGCTGCCTAAAGCAAAGAAAAACTTTATTTACCTTGATGGGGTATGCTTCTTCAGAGTGGGGTGCTGTTTCTAGCATTTGACTGTACCCGGTTGGGAATCTAGGCAAGTGGACACCATAACCTTTGGGGCCAAGATGCAGTTGCTGGAAAGTGAGCCGAGACTTTTGTTGGTTACACGATGTCCTGCCATGTTTGCTTTTAAAAGACCATTGGGTAGCAAAGCAAGCTGGAGTCTCCAAACTCTATAATTACTGATTCATAAGGGTAGCTCAAGTGGCAAATGAGTTCTCTTTATGGGGAAGAATTTCGGGATAACCCGGGTCTCACTCTTTTCCTAACTTGTGGTTCAGAATGTGCAGGCATGTTTGAACTTTATTCAATTTGATCCATCTTACCCAGAACAGAAGCGAATCTATTAAGCTATGCTTCTTTAATGTGGTCAATGCAGCAACTAATCTAGCAGAATATAGTTTTCTTTCATAGAAGGATTTTCTTGGAAGTTTCTTTCCTATATCATCTATGCTTTTACTTGGCCTGTGTTTGTAATGGAGTTTAATAATTGGATGGCTTGGATTTCATCTTTCCTGAAGGCCAATCTAACAGTCTAAGAACCAACCTGGTGCCTCTTATTGGATCAACCAAGAAGCAGATGGTGGCTTTGAATTTTTTATACTGTTCCTCTCATGGCAGATTTTTTTTTTTTTTTTTTTTTTTTTTTTTTTTTTTTTTTGGGTATACTCGGGGTTTCCATCGTCTGATATAGTGACTAATCCCCTCGTTAAATTGTAGGCACCTCTTTTGGGTGGGACACTGGCCTGGAGATTTAAGGTTGCTCCATACCCAAAGCCAAGGATCGAACTATTGACATTTGGTTAAGGATGTATGAGTGCCTTCCACTTAACCACACCCTAGGTTCTCTCATGGCAGATGATTGATCCTTTAGTGGATGAAGAATATGATGGTGGTTTAGATTCAGTGGAAAGATCAGATGTTTATGGCAGATGACCCTTTAGCCCTTTAGGTTGATCTGCTGGGCATTCTTGCACCATTCCTCTTGTTTAAAAAGCCTATATGCCCAAGAACATTACAATAGAGTCTTAATTAGGTTTGTAACTCTATATAAGCGGTTTTAAGTTTGATTCACATCTCTTTGATGTATCATATATTGTTTTGTTTTTGTTTTTGTTTTGTTTTTTGTTTTTTTTTTTTGTTTTTTTTTTGTTGTTGTTGGTTTTTTTTTTTTTTAATAATAAATAAGATGGGAGGTCATGAGATCGAGCCTCAGTGGAGGCGTTGTTGACTCTTTATGCTTCATTAGGTTGAGAAAGTATGTTTGAACAGATACTACAATGTAATAGAATCACTAACATTCAAAATAATAATAATAATAATAAATAAGAATAACTCATGCAACAATGTGCTTCCTTTTGACATTCTTTCGAGGATAATACTAAAAGTGACAAATTGACACTTGAACTAGAAGACAAAGTTATTTGGTGGTAAAGCAATAACGATAATGATAAACATATATTAGTTAGGGGTTAGGTGGCAATTTATAACATGAATCAGGGTCCACATAACATTATGAACCTTAAATTGAAATAACAAAGTACATAATTCATATTCATAAGGTACATAATTTCATAACACAAAACACATAACATAGCATTATGGACCCAGCTGGATTGAAAAGACGAGGTACAGAATTTATATTCGTAAGGTACATAATTTCAATTCATAACACAAGACACATACACATGTTATATATTTACTTATTTTTCAAATTTGATTTAGGTACATAATTTGTGTTCACAGGCACATAACACATAAATTCATAACATAAGACAATTACTAATTTGTTTCAAGTACAGAATTCATACTCCCTATAAAAGCTAACTATTGGTCTTCTTAGTTTGAGTTGTGGTCCTTTGCCAATTAGGAGTCACAATGTGAGTTTCACTCACAATTTTTTAAAGTAAAGGAACAAACCAACTAGTCATGCTTTATTTGGGTGTGTTTTTTTATTTTATTTTACTTTTTTTTTTTTTTTTTTTTTTTTATAACAAGATAAACCCGCAACCACTATTCAAGTGTGTGCATTTAGTAAACACTGCTCCTGTATAATAGTTTAATAGACCACAAACCACATAAGTAAACCATACTAGAAAAATCTTGTGTGATGAGCTCAACTGAAAAGATGTTGGCAAGAATCGAACTTGCCGGTCACCTTTTAGTACGAAAATCATGCTCCACTCACTTGGCTACTCTTTTGTTGTTGTTGTTGTTGTTGTGTTTTGCCCCGAAATTATTGATGTGGTAGTTCAAATAAACATTTAACTTTTTATATAATTAGTTCTTTTTAAAAATAAATAAAATAATAAGAGTTATATAATATTTAATTTGGTTTAAAAAATTCCCAAAAACTATAAACTTTAATGTGACATTGCTATGCTAAAATGTTAATAATTAAGTTCTAACATGTTGGTGCACATCATTATGGCTTTAATTTGTCTAATGGAATTAATAATTGTTTTGAACTTTATTAATTTTAAAAATGTATATTATATTAACAAAATTAATCAAAATTCAGAAACTTCATAAACTTCCCATATATTGTTTTGTAATTTTTATAAGTTGTATAAGTGCAGGACCATTTAGAAAATATATATAAAATGTTCATTTGATAAAACTACATGCACTTCAGAAGATTAAAGAAAATTATGAAATAAGTATATTGTAATTCTGTCATGCTTTTATTGGGGGAAGAAAAAGAAATGAATAAGTTTGAAATTATTCAAAAAATAAATATATTATTGAATTATGGGGAGCAGTACAGTTAAGAACTTAAGAATGATAAGTTGAGACAAATTATATATGGATTGCTAATTCTTGAGATAAAAGGTTGAATCGCTAATTCTAAACGCTCTCACACTTGACTTGATAGGATTGTGACATGAAGAAATCATGATAACTCAATTGATCAACAAATGCTAGACTTTTAATTTGTTCACTGTGTATAAAGAGCCCCTCATTTGAGAGGTTGCTCCCACATTGATTAGTTGAGCTGCCTATGCGGACTATATAGATTGCTAACCACAATCACGTACTATTTAAGGGTCTGCATTAAGTAAATTACGCTCTTATGTATAGCCTGCATATACGTACAAAAATCATGTAAATAACTCACACAGGTACGCTGTTTTTACATAATTTGTGTGTGTTTTTTTGGTGTATTCTCCAAACGTTGATGGTATATATTTTCTCACACTGTATGCTGTTTTTACTCATGCGTACATAATTTGTGTGTACTTTTAATTTAGACACTGTGTACTTTTAATCAACAAATGCTAGACTTTTAATTTGTTCACTATGTATAAAGAGCCCCTCATTTGAGAGGTTGCTCCCACATTGATTAGTTGAGCTGCCTATGCGGGCTATATAGATTGCTAACCACAATCACGTACTATTTAAGGGTCTGTATTAAGTAAATTACGCTCTTATGTATAGCCTGCATATACGTACAAAAATCATGTAAATTAAAATCATGTAAATAACTCACACTGTACGCTGTTTTTACTCATGCGTACATAATTTGTGTGTGTTTTTATGGTGTATTCTCGTGTATTCTCCAAACGTTGATGGTATATATTTTCTCACACTGTATGCTGTTTTTACTCATGCGTACATAATTTGTGTGTGTTTTTGTGGTGTATTCTCCAAATGTTGATGGTATATATTTGTTGAACTATTGGTGACGCCACACTTAAGGACATGGCCGCACTTGAACCTTACTATATATATATATATATATATATATATATATATATATATATATATGCAACTTCACATATATAGGTCATGCATGCATGCATGCCCTGAGAATGAAACACTTAAGTGTGTACATACGTTGTAACATTTATAGAAGTTTGAAAAGATAAGAAACTAGCTAGCATGCTGGAAATTAAACATTATTAATTAAATTCATGTGTGTGGTGTACTGACCTTAACCTCAGACATAGGATTCATCAGCTGAGGTTGCTCCTCCTTCATCTTCGTGTATCTTTCAATCACAGATTTCATGCTGCAATAATAACATATACACACAATACTTCACGTATATATCACCACATACAATTTCATCCATGCATGCATTCTTCAACATAAATTCTTAGTGTGTGTTTGCGTGTATATATATATATATATATATATATATATATATGTATGTATGTATAGAGAGAGAGAGAGAAACCAATTCCTGAAAAAGTTGAGAAAACTCTGGATTATATTCTAGTCTGGCCTGGGGATCAGAATCTTCAGATCAGTATATTTTTATCTCAGTAATTTTTCATCAACTTGTAGCTAGGATAAATATTATTAGATAGGATGCATTAATATATATTATATATATATGCAAATATTTTAACTTTTACCAAAAACTTTGTATTATATGCGAATATTCACGTGAAAAATAAATATTGTCAGTCCAGATCGATTGTCTGCAACACGCTATATTAACTCATAATACACATAAATTTAACCCTTCAATGAAATTTTCTAAAAAAAAAAAAAAAATCAATGAAAAAAGTATTAATTAAGATTTGTATTTAATTAAAAAAAAACTTTTTGAATTCTTTTAATTACTCCATTCTTAATGCGTAAAATGAAAACTAAGTCAAAACGTTGTAGTCTAGCCAGCAGAATTTCAAATCTTAATCGATCAAATGAAAGAAAAAATAAATTAAAAAAAATATATTTTTCAGGGGGTCTTTGTAGTTTAGTGTCTTAGTGGTGTACTGAGATGTTAAAAGAATATACATACTTTAAAAAGTTAGAAAATAAAATATAATGAAACCAATGTTTAGTATGTATAATTTAATGATCAAATATTAATATTAATAACTATATAGCTGGTCAATAATATATGAAAAGTAAATTATAGCTCGCTAGACCAGCTATATACTTGTATATATATAGAAAGTAAATTCAATTATAGAAGAGATGGATGGAAGAAATGATATACTTTAATTAATTTCTATGTATATATAACGACTAACCTAGTGCTTGCAAAATCATAGAGCTTTTCGGTGCTAGAGAAGATAATCAAGCCAACTTCAGCATCACACAAGATTGATAGCTCCCTGGCCTTCTTCAGCAGCCCATTCCTCCTCTTAGAGAAGGTGACTTGCCTGCTCGTCGAATTATCGATCCTTCTAATCACAATCTTCCCTCTCCCCATCTTCGTTTTTAGGGTTTTTGTCAGCGCAGAAAGTCGTTAGATAGAACACTTGTTTATTTGAGTCTGAATTTTCGTCTTTGCTCAAATCAACACAAGAAATCACAGATCATCACCAATTTTGATCATCTATTTATACTTGTATGTTGTTCACGATTGAGAGAAAGGATGAAAGAGACAAGAAAGAAGGAGAGGGGGAGAGAGAGAGAGAGAGAGAGAGGGCTTGCTAGTTTAAGGTTTGGGGATCTTTTTAGAAAGAATATTGAAAGAAAGGTGGTTTTCTGAAACCGGGAGCGATTCGCTGAGCTCAAAACCACTTTAAAACCTTAAACTTGTTCCACACTCTCGCGCTGGTGCGATGGAGTCCGTACTCGCCGACACCTGTCACGTCGAATCCCGTTGACTGCCCGAGAAGTGCGGGTGAAAATCTCAGGAGATTCTGAACTTACCCGCCCAAGAAAAATGCGCGAGTGGAGCAAACGGCGCGTCGGCGTGAAGCCGAAACAGGACAACCTCGGAGCCACGAGGATTCTGATTTGGGATAGGAGAGCGAGGAAAGCTGTTGGGTGTTTTGAGAATTTTGATGTGGTTGTCTAACGAATATTTGACTAACATGTGGCACGCCAAGATTGGTTGACCGAGGGTTTTTTTTTTTTTTTCTTCTTCTTGCGATAACTTAAACCCCGTTGAATTATATTCTAGACTTCATGACATTGTACACAGGTCCGTGAAAAAATAAATTAAATGAATTTAACTTCAAGATTCAACATTAAATTATACATTTGAACTAATTTCACTTTTGATCCTATGACTTTTGAAATTTTATCACTTTTGGTGCACAAGTTTATTATTATTATTTTGTATTTTGGTGCCTAACTTTGTTATTTTTATCAGATTTGGTTCTTCCGGCCAAATTGACAGCGGAATGTTACCGAATTTTATATTTTAAGGGCAAAATCGTCATCCCAATGAAAGATCTTCAATATCTAAACAAAAGAAAAATTATATTAAGAGAAAAAAAAAAGAGTTTGTCAATTTTTGACACTATAAATCTCATAGATATGCGTCTAGTTTTTGTCCGTCTTTCCCATTATTCTCAATTTCTCATCAATCAAACACCTATAGATATGATTTTACAGTGGTTTTGTTTAGATATTGAAGATGTTTCCTTGGGATGACGATTTTACCCCTAAAAATATAAAATTCGGCAACATTTCACCGTTAATTTGGTCGAAAGAACAAAAAATGATAAAAATAAAAAAGTTAGACACCAAAATTTAAAAATTTTAAAGTTGTGCACCAAAAGTGATAGAACCTCAAAAGTCGTGAGACAAAAAGTAAAATTACTTCTTATACATTTGTATATATCTACTAGTATTTTTTATGCGCGATGCGCAAAAAATAGGTGCTCAATATTAATACATTATATTAAAATTTTAACTTTATTTAGATTTTAGATATTTAAATTATTCTAAATAATAATAATAATAATAATGTAAATCATTTTTATAAATTTGATATTTATATTTATGTAATAATTAACATATAACTCAAATATTTAATGTGTATATATTATTATTAATGAATAAGATAAGAAAATATATGGTGGATGCATGTGCATGGTAACAATAGTGGAAAAGATAACGGAAGTTATAACGGTAGGGGTGTGTTTGTCCAAAATATTTTAATGCACAACCTTTATAGCATAATGTACAAAAAAATTTAACGGAAAAAACAGACATAAATCAGGGGTATAACTTTCATTCACACTTATTATGTTTTTAGATTTTTAGATATATATATATATATATATATATATATATATATATATATATATATATATATATATAAAGTTCTATTCAAACTCAAATTGTCATTGTTCGTGACACAAAAATCGAACGTACACCCTACCATTAGAAGCATGAAACAAATATTAAGTGATGCTTTCCTTATCCGATCCTCTCAAGATCGACGAATGGAGTCCGGTCTACTTTTGCTAAGAGCATTTCTACGATTTTCAGTTTGTAATTTTTGATGTTATATTAATTTACAAGAAGATATGCTTTTAAAAGGTAATTGTGATGTTCGATTGTTGGTATTATATTATATTGTGAATATTCTTCCAAAAAAAGTTGAACCCCAACTCTAAGGGCCCCCCACACCCCGGCCCGACAGAGCATTTGGGAGGATGTAAATCATGGTGACTCAACTGAACATGAACCATAGAGGCTAGACCGATGCTCACTGCGCACAAGGAGCCCCCCTCACTTTGAGAAGTTGCTCCCACACTGCCGCTGGTGAGACTCGATCCCTGATCATTCTTCCAAAGTTTCACCTCTATATTGTGAATATTGATTGTAGAGAAAAGGTTTCGGCCCAGTAAGATAAAATAGTTAGTCTATCAGTCAATTTTAGTTTGTTGCTGTTTGACTTTATTAAATAACTAATAGAGTGTCTGATTAATTAGTTTTTTTTTTTAATAGCTTATTGCTCCAAAACACTAGAATTCAAAATGCTGTTCAAAACAACTTTTTTTATTAACTTTTTTATAAAGTCATTTTGTATGTAATCAAGTATTCGATAACAACTAATTTACCAAACATCTTTCTACAATCAGCTAATGCTACCAACTAATCAAATTCACTAACACAATCAACTAACAGCTATTTACCAAGGACCCCTTATTATTTTAGAATGCACACAAAAAAAAAAAAAAAAAAAACATCACAATCATTATGATGCAAGACACTAATAATATATATGTAAAGTTTTTGAAAATACAACCTAGATATGACTGTTGTACATTGATGAGGTAATACTTTTTCACGTATATAATTTATATGAAAACTTAACTCAGTACTTTAAGTCTTTATTAATTAATTTATTTTTTATTTCAATTTCAACTCTGAAGATTTAAATAGGGAGTGGTGTAGGAATTGTGAAACTAAACAATTAAGTGATTAACTAGGGTTTGGTGAGCACATGATGATGAACACCACTTTGTTTTGTTCCTTCAAAACATTATCAAACCGTGTGGTGTATATGTATAGTGGTTGGTATATTTTTGAGTGTTTAGTCCATTTAATTATAAGGTATTTCATATTATTCATCATTAATGATATATATCATTCTGTAATTTTATAATTTCATGTTGAAATAATTGTACTGTTGTATAATTACTTTCAACTACTAATACGAAAATATCATAAAAATTGTGCATTTTGCGTCTGTTGTGACAAAACACAGACACATAAGGTGATGCAGTGGCAGATTGGTAATTAAAATGATCATAACATACGTAAATAGCTGTTTTTGTACTAGTGAATTGGAACAACAAAAGTGTCAAATATGCCACAAAATTTTTAACTTTTGTGTACTAGATCACTGAACTTAAAACATGTGAATTATACTATTAAACAAGTAACACGTGCATTAAACCATTAAACAAACAAAATATGTGCAATTAAGATTTAAAAAAAAAAAAAAAATTCTCCCGATCCAATGCAATTTGAGTTGAAAATAATTCAATCTTTCCTCCAAACTAACTTGATAAAGGAAATGGACCATGTAAGTAATGTGATTGGATTATTTTGTAAAAAATAAGAAAAATATCTCAATTGCACATTACGTTTTTGCATGTTTGATCACTTGATGTTTCAATTGCAAGCATTTTAAGTTCAGTGGCTTTTTGGGCTACAATAGATAGAGAAAGTATATTGAACATATATTATCTTGTAATAGAGTTGATAGTACTTAAAAAAAAAAAAGTTCAGTGGCATAATTACACAAAAGACATAAATTCAGAGGTTTATTTAATTTTTTTTTTCAATTAAAAAAAAAAAACTAACAACAACAATTTGGAATGCCCAAAAATTCTCCATAAAAAAAGTTATTATTATCTGTACAAATTGATGAAATTGTTGAACTAATGCATGGAAAGAGATATGGTTAAGTGATTTGATGTTGTAATTAAAAAGCAAGTTGCCATAAAAATATGGATTAGGAGAGTTAATCCAGGCAGTTTCACTACGTGTTTCAGTGCTGTCCAAATGTTTCAATTCAACCATAGTACCTAATACCTAACAGTTTTCCCACATGTTTTGTGAACATTATATCCTAATCCAACACTTTTGGCAAACGTTGGAGGCCTGGAGCTTATATATATTTTAGGTGATTGTAATTTTGTGAGTTTGACCAATGATAATGATTAGGTTATGTTTGAACTTTGAAGTATATAAATTATAGGTGAATGATTTCGACCGCAATAACAACTGTCAATACCCTCTCGGTTGATCTCGTCACATATGATCTTTTTAGTATGGTTTATTTCTCATATGTAAGGTTTGCGAGTTATTACACAGGAGTGAAGTTCAGTCAGTGCACACCATCGGATAGTAATTGATGATAGTTTTTCTCGTCACCCTAAAAAAAATTATTGACGCATCAATTTGTTGAAAAAATATTTCAAAATTTGAGTTTTCTAAGTTATTGGTACATCATAAAGTGAAAAACATCAACCATAACCTATGTTGATTAATTGGAGTTTTTCCACGTCGGGACTGACGAACCAAAAGATATTATAATTTTTTCACATATGAGTAGAAATAAAATAAAATAGTATTTTGCCCTTTCAAAAAAAAAAAAAAGTATTTTGCAAGATGGATTTTCTAATTACCCATTTTTACAATGAAAAAGCTAAGTGATTTTTTAAAAGTGTTTTTATATGCAAGAGAACTGAAAAAAAAAAAATCACTAGAGCAAACTTAACTTTATCTACTTAACATGCAAACCCAACTAGGTTTGACTCCAAATTCACTTGTCTTTAAGTTTTTTTTTTTTTTTTTTTTTTTTAAAGACCAAATTAAAGGTCAAAAATTGATCAGATGTGATAAAGACTACTTTTTTTAAAGGATGATAAAAACTATTAATGCACAAAGTTACATGCAAAAATGGAAACTAAAAGATTGACTGGGCAATTATTTGCGATTTATCTCCTCTAACGCCCTTAGATAGAGATTATGGAGATTTAAGATTAATCTAGTGTATCAAAAATTACATTTTCGGTGACAAAAATGTGCTTTCTAACTTATTTTGGTATCTAGAAAATTCCAAGCCTTATTCTCAAAAATAAATAAATTCCAAGCCTTGGTACCGCAAATTTATCTTTTTCAATTCTACTTAACATGTAAACCAAAGAAGGCTAGAATCCAAAAATTCCATGAAAAAGAAAAGTGTACTT